CTATTGACCGGTTTTGATTTTTATTTTGATCTATTTTGAATTGCGTGACACTGAAAACCAGCAATTGCTGCCTCAGATTCTTCTGTCAAAAAAAGTATTTGCGTTTCCACTCAAGTATACCCGTCTAACTTTCCACTGTTTGCGGGTAATGGCGGCGGAGGCGATTGAAGTTCCCTCCGATAACTGAATTTTGTAGCCTCCTAGATCCTACGTACCCAAGACGCTCTTTGGGCTTGTCAGTCACGCAATCTTCCTACCCCACGCGCCACAGGTAAGAGAGGAAAATTGAGTGACGTTCCCAAAGAGCAAGAAGGTCACGCGCCGGTTTGTCACGCCATCTTGAACTGGCAGCGGTCGGCTTATAAACATTTTCCTTTCATAAAGTCCATCTGTCAAAACTGCAGAGGTCGCACGTACATGTCATCATATCTTTTTATAAAGCTGTGTGGATGATTTTAAAAGGATATGTCGACTTTAGCAATATATTTTGCCCTCTTTATCGCAGGTAAGATTCTAAATATTTTAATTCCACGCTTTTTGATTCATAATAAATTACTTTAGAGCAAGGTTACAACTTTTGATCGCTCCGATTGAGCAAAAATCGGTGAAGCCAGTCATTGTCTGCTGAGCATGATTTCTAATTTAAGATTCCTTCTTAGAAGGACAAGAACAGGTCAATTTCTAGCTGCCGTTGCGCTCGCTGAAACTCTTCAGCAAAGTCTAAGGAAAAGAAATAAAAAACGAAAGGATAACTTTCTTGTCAGAAGGTATAAACAACCAAAAATTTGAGCCGTGTTTCGCGACCAATATCATTCGCCGCTTGATTGAATTTATGCTCAAACAATGCAGCGCGCATGGAACAATAAACAAGCTATTCATCGTGGTATCAATTAAAACGAATATATTCTCATCAATTCAAGTTTCATTTTGATTTTTAAGCGATGGCTTGCGACTTCTTTCCCAGTCGGAGGTTTTCGACTCACACGCTGACCAAATGGTTTATTAAATTGCACTTTACGCACGGAATTGTGTTAACATTTGTCGAAGAATAGCGAGTTCGATTGGGCTTATCAGCTGAAGAGCTTTCTACTGTTCTAAACGGGAGTTAAGTTGGGAAGTTTGACTACAGGGTAACAAGCCTGGTCAAAAAGCTATATGAGATAGTAGGAAAGAGGGGGAAAAAAGTACAGTTCTTGGAACACTGGTTTCGACGCTATCGAAAAAGAGCATCGAACGGCTGGCCATGTTCCGTGTAAGTCTCTTATTCATCTACATGTATAAATATCACGGGAAGGTCATTCTGTCCTGTTCTGCCCTGATATCTCAGTGTATTCAAGCATTTTATTTTTCTTTAGTTGTACACTGACACATTGTGTTTATCTTGTTGGGCGGAACACAGAACCTTTCTGCAGCTTTCTGGCGAGCGTAAACACAAATGAATATTTGGAATATCACTGCTTTGAATTTACGGCAAATTTCTTTTGTCTTCAGTTCTCCTCTCGGAGATGCAATATTTTGATAATAGATAAGCAAGATAGCAACGATACAAACGAGCTTCCAAAATAAATTATCTACAGCTGGATTCCTGACAACTGGATGTGTAATTCTCACCCAGGGTGAGTGGTCTGGATAAACCACTAGTCCGTGTTTCAAACAGAAAATCACTCGAACGAAGCTGTCTTAAAACTGAACGTCTGAAGACCGATATATCGGTCGTCATATCAACCGACACTCGACCGAGGTATCGGCCGATATTTCGACCGACACTCGACCGATATGTCGGTCGACATATCGATCGACACTCGGCCGATATATCGACCGAGATATGTCGGTCGACATATCGGTCGATATATCGGTCGAGTGTTGGTCGATATATCGCCCGACACTCGACCGATATGTCGGTCGATATGTCGATCNAACTGGCCAATCAGGACATCCATGCAAAACAGAATGCACAATAGTGGGTGCGGCAGGTGTGAGACGAAAACAACTGCGACTAATTACTTGGAATAACAGCGGAAAATACATTTTAACTTACAAAGAGAATGCGTGGTCTCGACCGTGTTTTATGTCCCAGCAAAATAAACAAACAAACAAACAAACAAACAGACAAACAATATGGAGTCTGAATATCGGTCATATTGCATGTTTTGCAGGGTTATCGCTGGATTCCAGTGCTGCTATGGTAGGAGACTGTAACACAACATACTTCATATCTAACGGCCAGCTATGCCAGAGAGCGATGATAAAAAATTTACAGACTAAGCTGAATACAAACTGCAGGTAGGTAAAACCTTGCAGTGGCTTGTGAGTTTGAACAAATGTTTAAAAGAAAGAAAACGTTTTCCATGTTTCTATTGAGATAAAGAAACACGAGTAGAAGCACAGGCGTCCCCAAACTCACGATTCGAGGAATCGATCAAATATAAATGATTTATGTACGCGTATCGAGTAGGACGTGACACCTTAAGTGTGACCCTTAAGCGTGACCCTCATTCCCAGGGTTTCTCAGAGAGAGGGACCCTGGGAACGAGGTTGAGTGTTGTGTTGCACTTTGGGTTGTTGAGCGCTCCGAAAGGCATTATAATTGAGCTGCTGTTCTTGTTGCTTTTGCAGTAATGAGTATGAAAGGGAAAAGTCGTGCCTGAGGAAGCATATCGCAAGCTGCTTGGTAAAACTGTATGTTGATCCAGTGACGTCACTGCTTCTTCATCAAGCGTACCACTGTGGTGACGTCACATATCAACACTCTCCAATCAACAATTATTTCCTAAGTTTAATTAAGTGTAAACCGCAAGCATTTATGGACACCGAATTCTGCTGGAGATCTTTTCGAGATAGATTGAATGCAAACCGGTCTGACCCGTTATTGTGCAGGTGAGGCTTGTGTGGTAAGATTTAGGTACTCCTCCCCGTGCCCTTCCCCCTCTGCATGGCGATGGGTGCCATTTCGCATACTACTTAGAGCAGTGATAGTCCATTCTATCCACGAGACAAAATACAACAACTGATCAAAATTTGGTTCGTTTTTGCTTTGTCGTCTATAGCAGAAGTCCACAGTTAGCTTATTTGTGAATCAGCGAACGTTGCAGAAGCAAGGCCTACTTCAAACTAGTGACATAACTACATAATGACATAAACATAACGACGTAAGAACAAGGACGTTATGTCGTTATATTTGCAGTGTGAACATCCTGACATGACGATATAATAACAACATAACAGGATGAACATAACGAGATAAGGAAAAAAACTGTTATTTTCGTTATGCCTTTGATAATGACATTACCGACATAAGTGATTGTCATGTCATTATGCCGCTTGTGTGAACCCGGCCTAAACAAACAGAAGTGAAGAAAACTTTACTGGTCCTCAAGTGAAGGACTAAAGAATCTATTTCAATTTGCCCATGTACCTCCATCTCCATTGTTTCAAGTAAATCAGATAATTAAGCACGTGAAACATTGACTGATGGTTTCTAATAGTCCATGTTTTGGCAAGTGAATACATGACAGATTCTCTCAAAACTGATTATGTTGCGTACATAACAGCAATGATCATTCATGTCTTTACTTCTTGTCATTGCATGTTGCTTTTTGTAGGGAATATGCTGTTGCCAAGGAATGCATAACAGAAAAAGCCAAAGCAAATTGTGAAATATGCGAACAGCTGTCGAGAGATAGTTATAATCCATTCTGTCCAAACAACACAGACCCACCACTGCATACAAACGGTATTAGTAATCTCTTGCTGCGAATTCTGTCTGTCTGTCTGTCTGTCTGTCTGTCATAAAACGTATACACAGGAAGAAATGAAAAGACCGTATCATTTGTTTTTATTGGCAGGTTGCAAGGATCTTGCCAGTTCCCTGTCTTGCACAGCACGCTTAATATACAAAACTGCCGTGATTTGCGAGAGGACGTTCTTGAAAAGTTTCATGGGCAATGAAAAACCTAATTGCGGGTATGTGAATTTTTGTCAACAATTGTTGTTATTCATTTTGATAAAAGCTTTGTTTTTTATGTTTGGGAAAACCGTCAATGGCTGCAGTTGGTAACAGTATCGTGCAGCTCGTTAAATAATTAAAAGTCTATTTTAGTCGTAGAGTCGACTTCTCTCTTTTAGTCACCATAAATTAAGTCATATTTTGTGATTGTGATACATGAAGTTCCTTTTAGGTCGGAGGAAAGTTCGAAACAATTATGTACTAAGCTTGAAAAACCAAGCAAATTAACAAGCAAATAAACAAACAAACGAACAAATAAATAAAGAAATATAAACAAGAAAATAAACAAACAAACAAACAAGAACATAAACAAAGAAACAAACAAATAAACAAACAAATACCAAAACTATGACAAAAGAAGGAGAGAAACATGAATGGCTGCGAATGTTGCCAAAAGTTCGCAATGTATTGTATGGCTTTATTTTTTCAAGAAGACATCGCATTGTGACATAGCTCTCACTTTTTCGAAGCCCGATCACCCCATCCCTCTAAATCGGCTTACATAAAAACCCATAAATTTAACGAACTAATGTAATCTGATACCCCAATGATTTTCCTTTGCCTTTGACGAAACAAGGACTGCATACACAGAGCTGAGAGCCTGTCTCGATAAACAGCTATCCCAGACCTGTAAGGACTACTCGAATAATCAACGTCTCAAGGGTGAGGTAGAGAGGGCTGTGACGGCAGTGCTGCGAGGTCGCAGATTCTTTTGTGAAGCAGTGAACGTACGGAGTATTGATCTGGACTTTAAGGTGCGACCTTTAGTACCTTGTAGTAGAGAATTCTTTCCAGAGATGGAGAAATGCGCAAAACCCTTCAGAAACGAATACGTAGCAGGAAACAGAACGGCTGGTGAATTTTGCAGGTATATATTTTTTTAGGATATTACGAATGCATGCATTTCGCCCTCTGTGGCCGTCGATGAGGGTTCAGTATTGAATTCGAATAATTTTGGCCATGCGATTGGTTGAATGGCTCTGACGACGAAGCTGTATTCACTGCTATTACTAACCATTCCTTTCTCAGAAAACCAAGCTAAACTATATAAGCCTCGAAGCTCAAACTCCACTATGAAGGAGTTCACCCATCCCCCATCTGCTGGTCAAAATCTGGAGCAAGAGCCTACTACAAGTAGTTTTTTATTCTTTTTCTCTACGTCGTGTCTCCTCTAGCCTAAAGTGTCAGTCATTGTCCACCTGACAAACCCTAAGAAAAATTAGGAGCACGAGGTCTAGAACGTGTGTGAAAACGGTTTTTTTATATATCAGTTCCTTTTCATTTGATACCTTTGTTTCTTTTTCTTTTCTTCAGGAATTTTCGTACGGCGGTACACTGTTCCAATGTCGCACAGAATTCTTATTGTAAGTTTGAAAAAGCCGTTGCTTTCATAATTGAAGATTCCTATACCTCGTTTTGTATTAATGGAAGCGAGAAAGAAACCGGAGGAAGGAGCGTCAGTGGTGCAAGTTGTAACTCGGCAGGCTTTGTGTTTATAATTTTTGCTCTTGTTCTGCAACTGTTGCGAGAAATTTAACCTTTTGACGTTTTCACATTTAACCTGAACGGGCGAGTGGTTGTCTACAGAAACGAAGGATTAGATGAGGCACTGCTCGTGGTTCGTCTAAAGACCTTGCAAAATAGGAAGTTTAATGAGTGATTTGTAAAGTGTATCGTTCATAAGGTGTTCTAACGTATACAGTCATGGTTGTTTCATTTTCAAAAAGCATGTAAATGAATTCCCCTATTCCTCAGAAAATAAAACCTGCGACGCTTACACCTTGAGAATCTATGAACCGACTTTAGAAAACTTAGGGCAACCAGGCGGTTTGTGTAAAACCGAGCCTTAGCGAGAGTTGACACAGAAAATCATCAGGTTAAGGTCCCAAAGAGGGGAAGGAGGGGAGGTTAAAGGATTCAGGATTCCTAATCCTTCCTATCTTGGAGTCTTAACCCTGGGTCCCTGCGCTTTTTTTCTTGTCGCCATAACTTGACTCTTTTGGACTGACTGATAGAGGGATTAAGAGGGAATGAAACCCTTACCTTTCTCCCCACTACATCCTCTTGAGAAATGATAGGAAACGGTTGCCATGGTAAGAATATTTTAATAAAATTCTGTAGTCGCTAAAAATATTAACCTCAACGTCGTTTATTGGCTAGTTGAGGTATAACACTAAAATAAGGTCGTCATATTATGGACTGCACGTTCAAAGCTGTCTTAGGGACGTTTCGTGTTCTGAGGTGCAGTGATTTTGGTTGCTTCTTAAGTATGATACGTATTTATCGAAACCAATCGGCATAAGATAGAAGTGCAGGCACGATGGATACAGTTCTTACAAAGGTAACCCTTTTTAAGCTCTTCAGTGTCAGTTTCTACAAAATGACGTACGTAGGACCGTATGGTTGTCATAGCAACAACCACACTAAATTTCCTAGAGGCAGCTCCTCGTTCTGTACGCTCGACAATGGACTGATGGTAGTCACCTCCTGATACCAAAAAAGCTAACTTATATTCCGTGGTGGAAGTGAATTGTTGTACTGCAACCACCACTTAATTTTCTCTTGTGATGTAATTTTACGCTTAGTAACAGCTGTTATTGCATTTCTCAGCGTTAAAACTCAGTAAAACAAAGATACGATCGGACCAGCTCTCGCGAGGTCTCGCGTGAATTTCTCGATGCCTTTAAGAGAACAATAGAACAAACAACAGAAACAATGCCCCTTGGCCCCAAAACAGTAACAGTTGGAACACTATGACGACAAACAGATTGACAAGTTTACGAGAGTTGCTAGGAAAGATGAAAGGTTATTCTGAGTGTATTGTCTTGAACAAGTTGGTCTATCTCGTTTGTGTGCCTTCTTAACAAAAGAAATGTTTACGCATTTTATCTAGTGTTATCATCTCGCTGAGTTTGGATCTAATAACAACTGTTGCACGTGACTGATGTTTCGACAACCTAAGCGGAAGTCGACTATAGAGTCAAAAGGATGCTGCCGCAGACTCGACCGCGGTAACAGCTATTGCATTTGCTCTTATGTGCAGCGCGAGAGTAATTTACTAACCCTCTTACGAAAAGAACAGAAGTGGGATGATATAGGCAACAAGCTGAAGCATTAAACTGACACTTTCTGTAGTTGCGTCGGATGGACAAAACGGGTTGTTTATATTTGTAGTGATGGCGAGAACGTGTGTCTTAAAATTGCAGTAATCTTCCCTGGCCCTATTGATGCACTGTCTTGCTGTCTGGTATTGACTGCGGCAGAAAAGAACAAGAACACAGAAATAAGATTTGCAATGTATATGAATAGCGGTCTGTTGCTATTGATTTATTATATGACTTAGAAGTGATGATTGGCTGAGAGAGTAGGCAAATATATCGGTCTTTGTTTTAATTTAATACAGACGTGTTCGTTATTTTTTCATTCATAAAATAAATTAGTAATCGTATGAAAGATCGAGGAGTTAAGGATCTACACTACTCAAAATATTTGAAACTTATTTTAAATTGCAATGGCTTGAAAGCTCGTGCATTATGCGAGAATTTTCAAATACTCACTAGTACTGTAAATCCTTGATTGCACTCGCATTCATAAAATTACCTATCCTGATCTATCTCCGGCTAGTTCTGCAAACTAGTGGTTTCTTTGCTGGGTTAGAAGATGTGTTCGTTCTACTGTATTACACATTGCGTTCTGCTGCATTGTTGGAGGTAGAGTTACCATTTGGGTGTAACAACAACTTTGTTCCGAAAGTACAAATACCTGAGGACAGGCACCCCTAGTAACCTGCACCATCTCTCCCCCCCCCCCCCCCCCCCCCCCCCCCCCCCCCCCCCCCCCCCCCCCC